CTCGCCACAAACCCCCTATCTTTCTATAAATTCAACTATCCCTCCTCCTCAAAACCCACACTCATACACCACTGGGTTTTACTTTGAAGGATCTTTATACGTACCACCCCACGAACAACCAGACCACTCCACTGTTCTAGGAGGCAAAGCCCATAAACAAGTTCCGTGGAATCTGGGAGGATTGTGTGTTAGTTTGTTTTGTGTGTGGTTTTCTAACAACAGTTCTCATCATCGACAACGAGGAGGTGAACTAAAATGGGGACCCAGAAACGACCGTCGGGTGAGAATAAAAAGGAGAGGAAGGGGCCCATGGTGGGGCTAGGCAAAGGAAGGGGAGTAAGGGAAACGACAAAAGCGAGGGCGCAATGCAATGTGTAGCCAGTGGCGATGCAAAAATTTGCCGGAATGCCGAAACGCGGAAAGTACCGGATGGAAAAGCAAAGGTGAGCGTGACTGGATTGCCTAATAGAGGTGGTGCTGATCAGCCACAAGTTCAAAAAGGGCAATATTAATTACTATTCCATGTGGCACTGTGCCTGTGTGGCGCAAAGGCGAGTCTTTTGAATATTCGCTTCGTTATTGACACCTGTCCATGCTACCAATCAACTTTGGTGCATGACAACGTCAGCTCCGAGACAATGTGATACAACTCCACAGAATTCCTGAGAAGATCATCTCAGATCGAGGCCCTCAATTTATGTCTCGGTTTACTAAATACTTTTACAATTTGATGGGGATAACACCGGGCCTTTCTACAGGTTATCACCCTCAAACAGACGGACAGTCCAAACAGATCAACCAGGATCTTGAGCACTACCTCCGTGTCTTCGTAAATCACCAACAAGATGATTGGGCAGACTGGCTTTCCATTGCTGAGCTCACATACAACAACCATCTCCACACTGTGACAAATTAAAAACCTTTCTTTTTGAACTATGGACTACACCCACAAATGAATACTACCATTGCATCATCCCCTCAATCCGCATCGGCGGCCGAGTTTGGTGAACAGATGAAACAACTCCATGACCTCACAAAATCTTCCCTTTTTTTAGCAAACAACAATCTTAGACGATACTACGACCGTAAGAGATCCCCACTCCAAGAATATCAAACTGGCAATAAAGTCTGGTTAGAAGGACACAACATCACAACAGATAGACCAATGAAGAAATTGGACAACAAACACTTTGGACCTTTTAAAATCACTCGAAAAGTTGGGCATTCAGCCTACCAACACAACATCCCAAAAAGCTGGAAGTCCATTCATCCAGTATTCAATGAAGCCATTCTATCGCCGTACCACACTCCCAAATTCCCTAACCAACCAATTTCCTCACAACCACCACCCAAAATTGTTGAAGGAGTGGACGAATACAAAGTAGAAAGTATAATTGCATCCAGACCAACCAAACTGAAAGGCGCTAAACTCGACTACCTGGTCCACTGGCATAGTTATCCGGTCTCAGAATATACTTGGGAACCCAACACCAATCTTACACATGTCTCCAATTTGCTCGCCGCTTTCCACAAAATGTATCCCGCCGCTCCTTGCATCATCACCGCTTCTCTTCACTTCTGTCCTTATAAAAACTACACCACAACTTCTAAATCTCCAATGCTTTTTGATTGGATTACCAACAAGTTCCAGAGTGCCGCTTCCGGACTCATGAGGACACGAGTCTTATAAAAGGGGAGCTAATGTGAGGAATCAATTTTTCTCATTGCATTCCCATGTCGTGGTTATCCGAGTCATTCCCTGTCACTCCTCTTGCTCTTGGACTAGAGATTACAGCTGGTATTCTATTACTTTTATCCTTTTTCTTCTTATTCTCCATTCATACTCTCGTGTTATCATACTTACAATAAAGGAGAACTGTGTTAGACCCTCAAGAAGGTATCCAAATGACATAGCAACGATCCAGTGCTATGTCTGGGAATACTTCAGAGGGATATTGATAAGCGAGGAGGCTATGGGTCAGCGCCTTCTCATGGGCTTACTGATACAGCCAATTGTACATCCCTTACCAATATTTTCTCTCACACAATTAGTAAATACAATAGATTAGACCACTTTTGCTTTCTTTTCTTATTGGTTAGTTGTTTGGTCAGACCACTTTCTTAACTCTTCCCTTTTTTGGTCTGACCATTATTGTGCACTATATAAGGAAGTACATACTTGATGTATTATTCTTTAGTTCAATATTAGTTTGGATTTGCACCTATATCAATACTCTTCAACTCTCATATCCTGCTTCACCGCCCTTCAGCAAGGACTTGACCAGACATTGTGTTTCGTTATATAGCTTCGTATTTGTTGCGTGACAAAGTGGTTGTAGATGTTTGTCCTGGGGATTTGGGGGATTAGCGGTGTTTGGTAGAGGTCCTTTAGGATTGGGTGGATCATTAGGTGCGTTCTCATTGTCAAATATTTCGACAATATGGCTTTCTTTGGGCGCTTGCTCTGTTAAAAGGCCATTCTCCCCCTCAAGCCCAAAAAGGGTCAGATTGTTTGGGTTTGGGGTGAGTGCCATATTGTCAAATATGACAGAGCGTTCAACTGACACAAAACGGCATTCTGGCCAATAGATCCTGTTGCCTTTGCTCTCACTATTGAAACCCATCCAGCGGCCTTCTCACACTTAAGCATCAAGCTTTGATCCACCTGGGGAGTACACCCATACTTGGCAACCCCATTCTTTTAGTGTGGAGAAGTCTGGCTTTACCCCATGCACTGCCTCATGCAGTGTCATGCTGATGAGCGCCTTTGTTGAGGTCCGGTTTTTAAGCCAAGTAGCGTGCCTCATGGCTTCCCCCCACAGGTATCTGGGTAGGCCACTTCCATGCAACATTGCCCGCACTTTCTCCATCAGTGTGTGGTTGATTTGTTCAGCCACCCCATTATGCTCAGGGGTGTCATGAACAGTCAGTTTCCTGACTATACCTCTTTTTTGCAGGTATTTGTCAAATACTCCGCTCAAGAATTTGCCGCCTCAATTGCTATGAAGGACTTTTATAGCGGCATTCATACAGTTTTGCAGCCAGGCTTTGTATATGCAAAATTGCAAGAACATGTTGCTCTTATCATGCAACAAGAAGAGATGAGTCTCTTGTGTCTTGTCATCAGTGAAAGCAATGTAATAACATGTTCCACACAGCATTTCAACTGGTGCGGGGCCCCAAAAATCTGTATGAACCTCATCACCATGGGCTGTGGCATGTTTGCCAGTCTTAACCTTAGGTATGCTTTTTTGCGTTGTCTTAGTGTGTATGCATGATTCACAGAGGGTGTTTTTATCACTAGGTGTCAGCTTGATTTCTTGGACCAGAGCATTGTTGACCATATGTTTGGCTGCAGTCGGTGCTACATGCCCCATGCGTTTATGCAACTCCATCAAAGTGAGTTGTTCAATGGCCGCATTTGCGTTTCTCCCCATTGAGCTTCTTTGTGGGAGCTGTAAACACCATATGCTTTGAATATGCGTCCTACGGTGTGTCTTTTTGGGTTGACTATAGTGCATGAACAACTTCGTATCCAGCATTGTCAATTCAGCCTATTGGGACAAGGATGTGACCAATTGCTGGTGTGTATAATATGTCACGTAGCACAATCTTGGTTGCTTTGCCTGGGCTATTCAGTACCAGGATGGGGAGGTCTCTCTTTCCTACAGCCGAGAAGGAATTTTGATTGGCAGCATTAATGGCCTGTGGGGCAATTAGCTGATAGTTCTTTAGTAAGTGTCAATATGGAGTGAAATAGGTAGTAGCCCCCGGGTCATAGAGCTCAACTATCATTTAATTCTTAGTAGGTCTTTCTCCATTCGCAAGGTTTGCTAATTCAAATTTCCCTTGTAGAAAATCACTCGTTAGGGCACACCAAATACCCTCTTCCTCTTGTTCGACAATTACAAGATTTGCTTGTTCCGGCTTTTTCCCTTTGTGATCAATCTCGGAGTTCTCAATTCTCTTCTCATGTGAGTCCTTTTTGGTATCACTACACCGGTCACATTTCTTGCTCGGGCAGTCTTGACTGAGATGGCCCTTTCCCCCACAATTATAGCACTTGTTACGATAACACAATTTTCGGACCCCTCCTTTAATTCTCATTCTCTGCTTTAACCTTTTACTATAGTTCACACTCCATGCCATGCGGCACTTTCCTTTTCATTCTAACTCCACTTTCTTGCGTGACACTGCCTTTATTCTTCTTTTAGACACAAAGTCTCTCATGCAGTGGAGCTGGTCACACGGGCTGTGCCCTCTGACATCATCAGCCACTGCTTTTATCAACTGTACAGTACATAGGTACAAACACTCTGTATTAGTATAAATACCCCAATAGATCAAGGAGACTCCTCAGCAAGTCCTCCTGTTGTTAACCAACAAACTCTCTGCAGCCTAAGGGGTAACCACTCCCCAACCACCACCCTCACAGCGTGTCCCTGTGTATGCCAGAGTAACTAACTCTTGGTTGTTACATTAGGACTTGCTCTTCTACTCTCTTGCACATTGTGCAAAATGTCCCACTGGGCACCCGGACTCCAGGGTGAAGGAGATTTGGTTATTGTTTGGGAATATTCCGCATAGCAGATAGGTGCGCTCTTTGCAACAACCTTGTAGTGCTTTGGGAGCAGAAACAACACCTTTGATACGCGGCCCCTAGCGTTAAGGGGAGTACTTAGCTCAGCAGTTGGTGTGGGACCGCTGTTGATTAGAATTATATACAAAAAAACTTCACTTTCTCTTTCCTCTGACCAGGCCGGGCACTTGCCTCCACCAGTCTGGAGAAGGGTTGACAGCTTAACAAGCAGACCACCCCCTGACAACCGTTTGGACTAGGGTTTCTTACAAATACCTTTCATATACAATTTCAAATACTGTAGTGTGGGTAGTTGGGGATTGAGACCCAATACTCAGCTGGGAAGAGGTAGATCTGCAGATAGCAAGCAGGGACCCCCAGTTACATTTTTTTATTTACTTTACAAAGAGAACAAGTTGACATGTTGTTGCAAAACCAGCCTGACATCAATGCTCTGTTGCACAATATGCGGCAACAAATCTTGGCGTTGACCACGCAACTCGCCAAGCTGCAGGCAAATCCCCCTGCGGCAACCCCCTCGGTAGAGAAAAAGTTCAACAAGAAAGTCGAAGTTGTTGCTGACCCTGGCACCTTTGAGGGAGACAGAGCGCAATTTGCCGAGTGGTGGATCAAGCTCCAAATATGGGTTAAGGCAAATTGGGACGCATTTGCCGACAATTTTGAGGTAGCCACTGCGGTGCTATCTTGACTAAAGGGACCTGTGGCGAGTCAATACGCCCAAGTTAGAATGCAGGAGTGCTACACCACGGGAGTGTGGCCTACCTGGGATGATCTCAAAGTAGAGATCGAAAAATATTTCAAACTGCAAGCTGAGCGTTGTCGATGATGAGAACTGTTGTTAGAAAACCACACACAAAACAAACTAACACACAATCCTCCCAGATTCCACGGAACTTGTTTATGGGCTTTGCCTCCTAGAACAGTGGAGTGGTCTGGTTGTTCGTGGGGTGGTACGTATAAAGATCCTTCAAAGTAAAACCCAGTGGTGTATGAGTGTGGGTTTTGAGGAGGAGGGATAGTTGAATTTATAGAAAGATAGGGGGTTTGTGGCGAGTATAGACGAGCACTACCTTGCTAATCGTAGCACAAGGTAGGTTTGAGAACAACGAGGATGACGAGGTGACGAGGTTCCCAGTGATAGCAGGCTCCTGACGCACAAACTGTAGTGCTCAGAAGGACTCTAATCGAAGGGGATGACAATCACTTTCAAAAGTGACGAGTGACGATGACAGCAGTTAACAGTGGTAGAAGTGGGAAGTGTTGTGACCACACTGGATCACAAGTAGCAGTAAGAAGTGGACTTAAGATTAGAGAAGAAGTCTGGAATCGAGTTCTTGTTGTATTGTTTACAAGGTAAAATACAGGGGTTTATATAGTAAAAGAGAAGTAGGCTATGCACAGTATAGCTGTGCAAAAAGAATGAGAAAGAATATGAAGGAAGGAATGTACGCTGACGAATCCTGCGTAGGTAGTACAGGATAAGATTGTCAAAAAAAGAAAAGAAAGGGATAGAACAATAAATGCTGTGAGTAATATCACAGGTTTGTACAGCCATAAAGTAAAGTCCAATAGCAAAAAGAGAGCAGGAAAATCATGATGTCATGGGAAGATGCAGTAAAAAAAGAGCAAGGCAAAACACTATCAGTATCAACACAGTTCCTTTATTGTCAGTCAGGCATTCTAAAAAAATATGTGTCCATAAAAATGATTCAAAAATCAAAAATAATCGCACTGTAAATGAATGTTCTGCTGAAAAAAAAGAAACTGGAGCCACCGGTCCACCACCTAGTCCAAATCTGACAGTTCCATGGCCTTACCAATGGACTGGTTGTGTTGGACCACCTGATCAAACGAGGGAGGGAGAGGAGTAGTTCCAATTTGGAACAAGTGAGTCCCAGGCAGCGTGTGGTAGGTGTAGCTGTAGCGAAGACGATGGACAAAAGATAAGTGTACCCAAGTGAATGGGACAGCGATGAACATGGGCGACGCAAGGGGATGAACCTTCTCCAGCTCAAAAACTACCCACCCACGCTCCAACCAGGCAAGACGAGCGACCGATGTTTTGATAGTATATGATGGCAGATCGACGTCATGAAGATGGACCTGTTGCCCTATTTGGACCGGCCGCCGGGGCTTTGCTGATATCAGCAGTGGCACGTGGTAGTCAACGGATCGGCGACGGAAGCGGATAGGAAGTGGTGACATCAGAAATGGTGGGGGTGCAAAGAAGATGAGGAGGAGGAGGGTGGAGGTGACGAGGAGGTGAACTAAAATGGGGACCCAGAAACGACCGTCGGGTGAGAATAAAAAGGAGAGGAAGGGGCCCATGGTGGGGCTAGACAAAGGAAGGGGAGTAAAGGAAACGACAAAAGCGAGGGCGCAATGCAATGTGTAGCCAGTGGCGACGCGAAAATTTGCCGAAATGCCGAAATGCCGAAAGTACCGGATGGAAAAGCAAAGGTGAGCGTGACTGGATTGCCTAATAGAGGTGGTGCTGATCAGCCACAAGTTCAAAAAGGGCAATATTAATTACTATTCCACGTGGCACTGTGCCTGTGTGGCGCAAAGGCGAGTCTTTTTGAATATTCGCTTCGTTATTGACACCTGTCCATGCTACCAATCAACTTTGGTGCATGACAGCGTGACTGGGCGTGTCAGCAAATCTGTTCCTTCAAACAAGGCAACATGAGGACGAATGATTTTGTAACCCGGTTCCTGGCCCTCTCCATCCAAGGGGGTCTTGGTTATGAAAATGCAGTGGAGCTGCTGGAATGCAATGTGAACCCCCACATTGCAGAACAACTTTACCTGCAGGATATGAGAAGTGAGAATCTCTCTGAAGCAGCGGAGGAGGTTCAAAAGATAGGTAGGGCCATAGAGCTCTACAAAATGCACCAAGGTGGTGGGTCCACCATCAAAAACAACTATTCTCAGAGGAGCCCTGGGTCATCAAACCAAAATAAAAACCACTCTCACGGGTTCCAACCATTCAGTGTCGATGATGAGAACTGTTGTTAGAAAACCACACACAAAAAACAAACTAACAAACAATCCTCCCAGATTCCACAGAACTTGCTTATGGGCTTTGCCTCCTAGAACAGTGGGTGCTCTGGTTGTTTGTGGGGTGGTATGTATGAAGATCCTTCAAAGTAAAACCCAGAGATGTATGGGTGTGGGTTTTGAGGAGGAGGGATAGTTGAATTTATAGAAGATAGGGGGTTTGTGGCGAGTATAGACGAGCACTACCTTGCTAATCGTAGCACAAGATAGGTTTGAGAATGACAAGGATGATGAGGTGATGAGGTTCCCAGTGATAGCAGGCTTCTGACGCACAAACTGTAGTGCTCAGAAGGACTCTAATTGAAAGGGATGATAAAGACTTCAAAAGTGATGAGTGACAATGACAGCAGTTAACAGTGGTAGAAGTGGGAAGTGTTGTGACCACACTGGATCACAAGTAGCAGTAAGAAGTGGACTTAAGATTGGAGAAGAAGTCTGGAATTGAGTGCTTTTTTTTACAAGGTAAAATACAGGGGTTTATATAGTGAAAAGAAAGGTAGGCTTTGCACAGTATAGCTGCACAAAAAGAATGAGAAAGAACATGAAGGAAGGAATGTATGCTGACAAATCCTGCATAGTTGGTACAGGATAAGATCGTCAAAATAAGGGAAAAAAAGAGATAGAACAATGAATGCTATGTAAGTAATGGTACAGGTTTGTACAGTCATAAAAATAAAGTCCAATAAGAGAAAAAGAGCAAGAAAATTGTGATGTCATAAGAAGATGCAGTAAAAAGAGTATAAAGAAAAAAAACAATATCAGTATCAACACAGTTCCTTTATTGTCAGTCAGGCATTCTAAAAAAAATATGTGTCCATAAAATGATTCAAAAATCAAAATAATCGCACTGTAAATGAATGTTCTGCTGAAAAAAAAGAAACTAGAGCCACCGGTCCACCACCTAGTCCAAATCTGACATTTCCATGGCTTTACCAATGGACTGGTTGTACTGGACCACCTGGTCAAGTGAGGGAGGGAGGGGAGTAGTTCCAATTTGGAACAAGTGAGTCCCAGGCAGCGTGTGATAGCTGTAGCTGTAGCGAAGATGATGGACAAAAGATAAGTGTACCCAAGTGAATGGGATAGCAATGAACATGGGCAATGCAAGGGGATGAACCTTCTCCAGCTCAAAAACCTCCCACCCACGCTCCAACCAGGCGAGACAAGCGACCGATGTTTTGATGGTATATGATGGCAGATCGACGTCATGAAGATGGACCTGTTGCCCTATTTGGACCGGCCGCCGGGGCTTTGCTGATATCAGCAGTGGCACGTGGTAGTCAACGGATTGGCGACGGAAGTGGATAGAAAGTGGTGACATCAGAAAAGGTGGGGGAGCAAAGAAGATGAGGAGGAGGAGGGTGGAGGTGATGAGTAGGTGAACTAAAATGGGGATCCAGAAATGACCGTCAGGTGAGAATAAAAAGGAGAGGAAGGGGCCCATGGTGGGACTAGGAAAAGGAAGGGGAGTGAAGGAAACGACAAAAGCGAGGGTGCAATGCCATGTGTAGCCAGTGGCGACGCAAAAATTTGCCGAAATGCCGAAATGCCGAAAGTACCGAATGGAAAAGCAAATGTGAGCGTGACTGAATTGCCTAATATAGGTGGTGCTGATCAGCCACAGATTCAAAAAAGGCAATATTAATTACTATTCCACGTGGCACTGTGCCTGTGTGGCGCAAAGGCGAGTCTTTTTGAATATTCGCTTCATTCTTGACACCTGTCCATGCTACCAATCAATTTTGGTGCATGACATTGGGTTCTAACCAGGGCGTGGTGCTCCTATGGATATTGGCGCGGTCCAGGGCGGACAAAAGCGCAGATTCACCTGCTTCAATTGTGGGCAGGAGGGGCACATGGCCCAAGATTGTAGAAATAGGGCGCAGGCTGTCCAACAAAAAAACCAAGGGCGCCAGGTGCACCAATTAGAAACGGAGAAATTGGACGATCAGCTCAATACTCTGGCCGGTTATTCTTACGACAAGATCCGGGCCTTCTTTTATGATCAGCAAGCCGCTGAGATGAAGGCTCAGGGAAAAGAGTTTGGAGCTTAGGTAACTTAGGTGCCTTCGCTCCTATGAACAATGAAGTAAACCACAACAAGGTGGCCCCTGCTCCGGGGTGTTGCACGAGCAATAATGGAAAGAAAGGGGTGGCTCCCCAATTTGTAAATAGATTTCTAAATTTGTTATCTGAAACATGTACTTGTATGAAACATTGTGACTGTAATATTAATGATACTACCGCTGCACCAGCGTCTCCCTTAGAGTGTGACCCCGGTGAGACAAACAATAGGGTGCTTGATTCTGGTAAAAATAAAATAGGAAAACATGTTTCTTTCAATACTTCTTCTTCTTTAGAGCCACCCTTTCCTGAAATCCCAAGGCGTGTGTTGATGTGCACATATTTATTCCAAAAAGAGATCTGTTTAGATGTTGGTGTGGAAAACCTTGCCCGGAGCATAGTACACCCAACCAGTGCGCTGCTTGATTCAGGCGCTAACAGAATCTTCATAGATCAGGTCTGGGCACACTTCAGTCACCCCCAAAACATAAGCATTTAGCTTCAACTATCTGTGTAAATGTATAAAGCTAAGAGCTTGTTTTTCCTGGTATCATCCCAAGTGCTCCAGCAAGGATGGGATCATCCCAGAAGTGGGATAATACCACCCTTCTGGGATTTTCCCATGGTATCAGACCATTTGTTATGGTGGGATAATCCCATTAGATGGGATAATCCCAGACATTTGCCACATGTCACATGGTGTCAGGGGGGCTTTACTGCAAAAATAGTTCCTGCATAAATGTAGCCAACATCAATACATTATCAATAGTACTAATAGCCATGAAGCAGAATACAATACTACCTGCTTTCATCATTTATAACATATATACAAATTTCAAATGGTGTTTACTCTCAATTGAACCTTAATTTGTCCAGCTTCTAGTGTAATATCATATACTATAGATTGATGGAGGAGACTTTGACCAAAGGTTAGTGTAACTAATTGTGACATATAACCATTTACAAATTAACCTGATTTAATTCAGTTGATTAGGAGATAATTCAACCATATCTCTTTTCCTTAACTGACTATATAACTTTGTCATTCCTACTTATCATATAATTTACTGCATATTACAAAGTAGATTTATCTACCCTGGATTTCTATCAATGTTACTTAAAATGGCTTATAGTCAAAGGAATACAAGATGTTTGACAATACCAAGCATATACATCTGCAGGATTACAATACCTCTCATTCAGGCTCATCCAACTTTAAATAATGTAACACTCTTGCAACCAGGCAAAGATATGTCACAAATCCATTTAATGTGCTGATCCAAAAGATATGATATTTTTTTGAATTGTGCAGCTTTATCCAAGTGCCTGAACTGAAAAATGCACAAAGATACCAGTCCGAGTAAGTACTACATATTCATTATCCTTCCCTCTGCTGCATCATTGTCAAAGGCAGAACATGTCTTGCATGAGACAAATTGCTGGCTCTTTGTGGCAGCCCAGCATCCACAAGCCAACACCCATTTTATCCACTATATGTCCCCACGCATACAATTGATTATAAATTTTTGTGAAAACAAAAATGGCTGAAAGGTGTGCTCTGCATGCTTATGCAATTTCATGTGACTTGGGATGAACCTACGTGAGGGCTACTCTGAATCACTGTCCCAGTTCAACCATAGGTTCATCCAGGTCCTACCATAACATAATAGTTGGTTTACAAACAAAATACTGCAACATGTAAAAAATGGAAACTGCTGGAAAAGGACAATAATATTTTAAGCTGCTGGGAACTTACCTATGATTATATGTTACAGAATAACCTTAGTGCATTTCAGGAGTATTTTCCCCTGTCATGCTGAGTCACCAGCAGCCTAAGCATGCTATTCGATAATTCTGTTCCTGTTGTGGGATCTCCCTGTCCTATTCTGACTCAGGGTGATCTTGTCCCCTGCTTGGATTTGTCTGTGATGTAGTGAGATGATCCTATGTAATTTGGAGATTTTTCTAGATCAGATTGAACTGGAATGATCCCATCTCTTTCCAAGACTTTCCTTGGCTGGTTTGGGATGATGCTTTACCCTTCAGGCATTGGTCCATATCAAATTGTGATGATCCCATCCCATTTGGTATTTGTCCACATTTAACTGGGATCATCCCCTTTTTTGCTGGGATTTTCCCAGATTGGTTTGAGATGACCCTATCCCCCCTTGGTATTTGTCCATGTTGAACTGAGATTTTCCCAGATTGATTTGGGATCATCCCATCCTCTTTTGGTATTTGTCCATGTTGAGCTGGGATCATCCCATCTCTGGCTGGGATTTTCCCAGAGTAGATTGGGATCATCCCATCCTCTTTTGGTATCTGTCCATGTTGAGCTGGGATTGTCCCATCTCATTTGGTATTTGTCCATGTTTAACTGGGATCATCCTATCTCTTGTTGGGATTTTCCCAGATTGGTTTGGGATCATCCCATCCTCTTTTGGTATTAGTCCATGTTGAGCTGGGATCATCCCATCTTATTTAGTATTTGTCCATGCTTAACTGGGATCATCCCATCCTTTGGTGGGATTTTCCCAGATTGGTTTGGGATCATCCCGTCCTCTTTTGGTATTTGTCCATGTTGAGCTGGGATCATCCCATCTCTGGCTGGGATTTTCCCAGAGTGGATTGGGATCATCCCATCCTCTTTGGTATTTGTCCATGTTAAGCTGGGATTTTCCCAGATTCAATTGGGATCATCCCATCCTATTTTGGTATTTGTCCATGTTCAACTGGGATCATCCCATCTCTTACTGGGATTTTCCCAGATTCAATTGGGATCATCCCATCCTCTTTTGGTATTTGTCCATGCTTAACTGGGATCATCCCATCTCTTTCTGGGATTTTCCCATATTGGTTTGGGATCATCCCATCTCATTTGGTATTTGTCCATGCTTAACTGGGATTTTCCCAGATTGGTTTGGGATCATCCCAGATTGGCTTGGGATTATCCCATCCTCTTGTGGTATTTGTCCACATTGAGCTGGGATCATCCCATCCCTTTATGGTATTTGTCCATATTGAACTGGGATCATCCCACCCCCTTCTGGTATTTGTCCATGTGAGAAGTGGGTAACCCCATGTTACGTGGGGACATGTACAGATTTAACTGGGATGATCACACCCTATTTCAGGGATTTGTCCAGATCAGTGTGGGATGATCCTCAGTAAAAAAAATCAAAAGTTGGGCAATGTCAATGGTCAGAATCAGTTTTGAAGGAAATTACCTGAGTTCTACATATTGCCATAAAAATGATAATCCAAAAAGAGTGGTGTGAGACAGCATCACTATCATATGAGAGACAGAGAATGTTGGCAGAAACCTTACTTGGCATGAAAAAATATTTTCCGGATTCATTTCAATTTCTCAAGAATCTAAAAAAAGAATACCTTTACAGCACTCAGATTCTTTGTGGACTTAGATACTGTACTATACACAGTCAGCATATAGGCACCAGTCACCCCTTAGACCTTCAGCTGGTAGCTCCCAGAAATGGCACAACTCAAGGTATTAAATACCTAAGCAGTGCCTAATTAATCCTCACACTCAAGTCATCTAGTGTAGGAGTATCAAAATGGAGATCTTGTGTATTATACTGTACATAGCAAGCATCCCCCTCTCCCCATAGACCTTCAGCCAGCAGCCCCCAGGAACCACTCTCAGAGAATGTACAATATAAGGTATCAAATACCTTGGTAGTGCCACAAAAGTGGTAAATTCATGTTTTTGCAAGAACATGACTTTATGTTTCTTTTTACTATGTTTTACTTTCTACAAGGTCAGGATTTTCCTCACAGAATATGCCAGATCTAGTGTAAATCTAATATTCGATGTCCTTCTGCAGATTACTTTGTTGTCACAGCATTTGTGTTGTGTTTCCTAGTTTTTACTTCAGTTAAGGGTATAATAAACCTTGCAAAAAAGCAGAACTCACATATCACATCTATCAGCAAGGACAACAGCACCTTTCTAGTGTATGGTTCCTGCAATTGATTATATCTAGAAATTGATAATGTTCCACATTTAAAAAAAAGGGAATGCTTCTCCCCAAATTTGCAGTAAGCTACAATGAGGAACTTGTAACTCATATATTTCAAAATAGTCTTGATTATATTGGGCTAAAGTACCATTATTCAGGTGGAAAAGACTGGAAATATCTTCACTAGTTGGCCCAGCATTCTCACATGTTAGTATTAGCACCAATCCCCCTGATACCATGTGACATGTGACAGGTTATTGGGATTATCCCATCTGAGGGATAATCCCACTATGGTACATGGTCTGATACCATGGGAAAATCCCAGAAGGGTGGTATTATTCCGTTTCTGGGATGATCCCATCCTTGCTGGAGCACTTGGGATGATACCAGGAAAAACAAGCTCTTAGCTTTATACATTTACACAGATAGTTGAAGCTAAATGCTTATGTTTTGGGGGTGACTGAAGTGTCTGGGCAGGGCAGATTGGACTCCCCCTTGTAAAATTAGATGTATCTATTACCGTCTATAACATTGACAGTACACTTAATGCGGGTGGCTGCATCATGCACAAATGTTCTTTTCTTGTCGAGTACCAAGGATACAGAGAACAAGTCACTGCCAAAGCTACCCAACTAGGGAAGATTAATTTAATCTTGGGCTAGACCTGGCTATTTAAACACAATCCTGAGATCAACTGGCAGACAGGGGTTGTCACATTGTCAGGTTGCCCTCAGGAATGTGTGAACTTGGGTAAGCCAAATCATGTCCGTCACAATGAGCGTCTTGAAAAGATAAACGCTGGTCAAGTTTATGAGCTCAGATCTTTAGAAAATATCGACAATAACAATGATGAGGTAAAACCCAAAGAAGAGATTAAGAGGTTTGTACTTCCTGAGTACCATGACTTCTGGAAAGTCTTTTCTAAACATAAGTCAGAGCGCTTCCCAGAGGCTAAGCCTTGGGACCATGCAATAGATTTGAAGGACACTTTCAAACCAAGAAAAGAGCACATGATTCCCCTCTCTGCTCCAGAAAGAGATGAGGTCTTAAGTTTCATAGATGAACAGCTTAGGAAGGGTTACATCAGACCTTCCAAAAGCCCTATGACGTCCTCGGTGTTCTTCATCTCTAAAAAGGATGGTAAGAAGCGCATGATTATGGATTATTGTTACGTGAATGAGCACACAATTAAAAACGCGTATCCGCTGCCTTTGATCAGTCATCTAGTAGACAAATTGGCTGGTGCCAAGATCTTAACATAGATGGATCTCAGATGGGGGTACAATAATGTACGAATCAAAGAAGAAGATGCTTGGAAGGCCGCATTTATGTGCCACCGAGGATCCTTTGAACCCCTTGTTATGTTCTTTGGGTTGACCAATTCACTGGCAGCCTTCCAGAAAATGATGAATGAGATCTTTGCGGATATGGAAAACTGCGTTATCATTTACATTGACAATTTGTTAATATTTACGAGGTCGGACGATGAGGCTGAGCATGACAGGATTGTGCAAGAAGT